CATATTTAATTTGATTAAGACTTTCGATTAATTTATGTATGGCAACAACCCATATGTACAATTGGTATTTTTTCTTTGGGGCACAGTTTTGGAGGTTTGCGTTTTTACACATTTGAAATCATCAATCAATCATTGTTGGACCACCATTAGAAACCTGGAAGCACTGGACTGCCGTCAAGTCCTGGTATGGGACTCATCAGCAGTGCGCATCCACGACTCCTGCACCTCGCAGGATTCGAACCCGAGACCTTTGTCATTGTAGGCGAACGCCTTACCGTCGGACCACTGGGCCGGCATCCGACCATCATTAATCAATCATTGTTAGACCACCATTAGAAACCTGGAAGCACTGATGATTTCAAATGTGTAAAAACGCAAACCTCCAAAACTGTGCCCCAAATATCGTAAGAGTGCTCACTAGTGACTAGTTTCGTGAGGAAATTCTCGGAGTTCTAGTTGAGAAGACGTGACTAATGGAGTTGAACCCTGTCGGGTGTAGGCAGTAACTAACTACGAAAGACAAATGGGTGAGGTCGCGCAAAAACCCTAGATCAATCAGAGTTAGACACTAACACCGTTAGATGTCGGCCCAGTGGTCCGATGGTAAGGCGTTTGCCTACAATGCCGAAGGTCCCAGGTTCGAATCCTGCGGGGAGCAGGAGTCGTGGATGCGCACTGCTGAGGAATCCTATACTAGGACGAAACGGCCGTCCAGTGCATTGAGGTTTCTAGTGGTGGTCTAACAATGATTGATTGATGATTTCAATCGTATTTCTTATTGTCAGGTTTGTATGAGCTTGTACGACTGAGCATTGCTTACGCCCACGCGCTTACTCATCCTTTTCGCTTTAATGTTAATCTCTTAGATACCGCGATGACTCAGATATCTTCCTATGTATATATACGAACATTTGAATCTTATTTATTCATTCGCATATTCGCCGATTCGCTCGCTAGTGTGCCTGCCCTGTCTGCTTGTAGTTTGCTGATCTATTTGTGGTGTGCCAAAATAAATGTATTCAACACTTCGACTTCACCTTCGGGTTTATAAACCACCAGAGGCTATTTAGTAACGATTGTCTGGACGAGCTAATTAAGGAGAATAAGAACACGTAGAAATTGGTCACCACAACTTCTAATATTTCTACTACCTCTACTACTATAGGATTTAAATCGATAATTCGATCTCTTGGCTAATATGGTACGGGAACGTGAATTATTGTACGTACGACGTTCTACATTGTAGCTAATTGATATCACAAATTTAAGCTTCCCGGCATCTTAAACATCACAATATTTTATAGGTCATTTTTATGTGAGCATATAAAGACATTCAATAAACATTTTCAATCGATCGATTGGAACAAAATATGAAACACGAAACAATTAGAACTGAAATAATCACAAATTAGAGTCAGTCACCTTTTGATTGCTGAAGAATTAAAAAGCATGAACATGGATCTTTACATATCTATCTATCTATCTATATATATATACAGCAGTTAATTACTGACCTATCAAATATATAAATTGCCTATAAGCAATATTTCATATATATTGTTATTGACTAAGTCAGCTGAAGATCATTTTAAGCTGACTTTATGTTATTGCTGCTCTATGTCTTTCTACATTTCGAATAATCAATTCGATATAATAATTAAATTTGTTTGTTATTTTATAAGAGTGTGTAGCATAAAATCCTAGTTTCTTAATAACCTTGTAGGAACACAGAACAACAATAATAAAACTTATAGGGTTATCGAAAAGACAGAAGATATTTACTCATTGTCGAATATGTTAACTAGAGTGATAGTTCAAACTATGTTGGAAAACGATACGATATAGGAAAGTTGAACAACATCTACAAAAGTTCAATGTCAACACATAGATTATCCTATACTGTTGTAGTGAACGAGAACACAGGTGGGGCAACCGTATTGTATTTAACGAAAATTACAGAGTTACTCAGTAAAATTGGAAGACCATATCGTAAATGGTTAATTTGCAAAATATCAGTCCATCATATTGAACTGGACTGTTCCTGTTGCAAAACACCAATCCATTGTCACTATTCATGCGTTTCATACAAATTCCATTGTTTTCTAACTCTTCCTTTCTTGATCTTCCCCCATATTCTACTGCCAGACATTACGTTGACACTCACGTCATATACTACTTATTAGTAGCCCACACCACATTATGAATGAAAGACAGACAGATACAACGCAGAACTTCGTACATAAGTAAATCAGTTCAGGTTGCCATACCACACCAGCACAGAGACGCAACTGTCAGTTCGAATCCAAGAGTGATAGCGACAGTAAAATTATTAGCAGTAAGGAGTGAAGATATGATTCGAGAAGTATAATTCAGTAAAATAAATTTAGAGGGAAAAAGGTAGAGATTATGAGGAATTCAGAAGGTTAGAATTAGAGAGAACACAAACAGTGGATGCACCTGTGCCATTGCAAACGATTCTGAGCCATGTCATTCAAAGTCTCTAACTATATGTGACTTTCGTCTCGCGGACCCCAACCAGATAGCCTATATCTACCAACATGACTCAGTCCACTTGTCAGTGACTTTTTGTATTTCTGCCATGTTTTGGTCTGGCCGCCCCTATGAATAAAATCCCTAGTAGAATTTAGTTTAACAGAGTATTTCCACTAATTATAAAACATATCTGTCATTATTAAAAGCGATTCACTTGTTTATTTACTATTGTAACTTTAACGACTATAAACTGTTTACTGAATTCAAATAGTGGATTTCAATATTAGAAATCAGACGAGATATTTTACTCTCAAGTTATTCACCCTGCGAAACGTTAGGTGAAGTGTAGACAGATGACATTTACACAAACCTAATCTTGATGATTGCTAGATAGTAAATTTAGAAATATATTGATTATTATTGATTGATTAGGCCGTTTCGTCCTTGTATGGGACTTACCAGCCGTGCGCATCCACGATCTTCACTCGTGAGAATCAAACCCAGGACCTTACAGGTGATCTAACAATAATCGATTTGTGACTACAGTGAACTTTTTGTTATCAGTATGCTTTCAATCAGGATTAGGTGAGTGCATTATTATGTGATGTAATGTTTCTGAAAAAAAGTACATTACTTTGAAAATTTAAATATTGTACTTTTATCATATCAAGAACAGTTTGGAATTTCCATCTGGAGTCCATCTCGGTTTACTGCTGGTCCCAGGTCCGGATAAAGCGGAAGGGTTGGGCATGCGCTTAGCGATCCCAACCCTTAGAAAGCCAACTCGCTAAACAACTGTTAACCGGAAAAAGTAATTCGAACCACAGGACAGAAACTTGGAAAACCATAAAACCCATCATTCAAAAGATACAAGGGATTATTAACAGGTGTCTACGCAAGATACTGAGGATCCAGACATCATCTGCACTGACCTACTGCTCGAGAGAACATTCTATCTGACGAGGAATTCAGGAAGAGGCACTGTGGGTGAATAGGATATCCATTAAGTGAAGCACCTAACTAAATCACAAGACAAACCCATACTTGGAGTCTTCAAGACCAAAGGAAAATAGGAAAACGAAAGAACAAAGTACACTGAGAATTCGAAACAGACCTGTGAAAAGAACGAATCGCAATCGGATAGAACTGGAAAGGAAGGTTGAGGACAGAGTAGGTTAGAGAATGCTAATCGGCTGCCTTTACTTCACCGGGCATTAGAAGGTGTAAGACTTAGGCCAGAAACAGTTTTCCCCTTATATACATAGGCCTGTGATTATTGCAAGCATTTTTACTCTTAATTTTCTTATTTTCTTGTCAAACATTGTTATTGTCAGTCAGTCAGTCAGTCAGATGCAACGTAGAACTTTTTACGTAACTACATCAGTTCATGTCGCCATATCACATTTGCACAGAGATGTAATAGTCAATTCAAATCCAATTGTAGAAGAGATAGTAAAGGTATTAGAAGTAATCGAAGAGGTGAGGATTAGAAGATATTATTCAAGAAGTATGATTCAGTGAGAAAAGTTTAGAACACAAAGAATAAATGCACCTGCGTCATTGCAAATGGTTTTGAGCCATGTCATTAGGGGTATCTACCCATCGATTATTATCATCTCGCGGACCCCAACTAGGTAGTCGACAGTTACCGACATGGCTAAGTCCACTTATCAATGACTTCATGGATTTCTGCCATGTTTTGGTCTGGCCGCTCCTAACTTTCTTTCAACCTACTCCTACACTACAAAACAAAGCTCGACGAGGGAGTCGGTGGTTAGGCATATGCAGCATATGTCCCAACCACCTCAAATGATGAAGTTTCACCACTTCATCTATTGATCTGCCATTCGTACCTAGCACCCGTTTCCTAATAACAGCGTTGCTTAGGGTGGTCAGAAGACTGCATTTTGTCAGCGTCTTCACCAAGTAGGACTATGTCATCGGCATATTCTAAGTCAATAAGCGAGTGATCTGGTAAAAGGTCTACTCCAGAAAATTCAGACGAGGATAAGGTAATTTCTAGCAGCATGTCTTTGACAAAATTAAACAAGAATGGAGAAAGTGGACATCCCTGACGGATACCACTTGAAGTAAAAAATTCCGTTGACAGTTCGCCATAAGCTCTCACTCGACCAGTGGTGTTCGAGTATTAAATCTTTTAATAATTAAATTGACAAGCACATTCTTTTTGTTCTAAATTTTATACTTTGAAGAAGAAAAAAAATGTTTATTTTTCTAAATTACTTACATTAAATTACAGGGTAGCTAGTGTATTTTTTATTTTGTAAAAAAAATATAAGAGCAACCAAAACTTACAAAATAAAATATTCCATAAATTACGTAACAAAAATATATATATATATATAACTGATTGTAATTTTGAACTACCTACCAGTATATAAATAATAATAATAATAATTAAAAATAATTAGAATAATAACAGTATGTTCATTGTTCATTGTACATTGTTCAATCCAACATGAGTCAGTTGACCTTGAAATGTTGTTTTAACGTTCTACGGATGTATTCATATGATGTGATGATAAACATGAATTTTTCTGTTCAGTTTGTTGTTGTATCTCTTGTAATTGTATACATTTTTCTGTTTGTACAATAATTGTAGATTTAACATTATTTCTATACAATAAATAACCAAATTCAAATAATTCCACAAAAAATGCTGCAGTTAATCCAATTGTCAATGAACATAAACCCCCTATACGACTAACTAATACATATAAACTTAAAATTAATTTCTCCGTTTTTTCAACTGTACTTTGTGATTTACGTTTTAATATAACATAAGCAAAATCTTCACTGTCTAAATCTAAATTTTCCGGTGGCCAATTCGGTAATAATGAAGAGATTTCTAAAAATGTTCTACTTGAATCTTTTAATAATTCACTTTTTCTTGGTAAACGTGTTAAATCAGGATAGTTTAAATAAAATTCCCATAATTTAAATGCAGCTGTTGTAGTGATATTTTGATGTGGATATTTTTCTTGATAATTTAATAACCATTGAGTAGCTTGATTTTGTACACGTAACCAATACAATTGCCATGGATATGCACGCCATTTTGTAACAGATGTAGTACTTTCATAATCATAGAATTCACAACGTGGAAAACACATTTGTCCATCATATTTTTGTTTAATAGAATTATTTAAATATTTACTAAGACATAGTATTTTTTCTATGAATGCAGTTTGATTTAAATGTGGCCATAATTGACCACAATAGGGTAAAGTTTTACTTGGTAAAACTAAACGTGGATGCATAACATAAATACAATGACAATTGTTCATGATTTCAATTTGTTGATGTACTAATAAACATTGTGTATGCGTATAATTATATTTTACATCTAAATCTAAATATTGATGTGATTCATTCGGTCGAATACATGGTCGTTTCGGTGTATTCAATCGTTTCCATCTAATTGGTTCATAATTGATTTCATTAAGTTTACCTGGTTCAACATGAATACCACTTTTTTCTAAATCAGGCATTGTACCAGCTTCATGTATTACTACACGTAGTCCACGAGCTTGTTCAAAGACATCCGGTAGGAAAGCTTGTTGTAAATTAACATCTTTATCTCTTGGACCCATACCAACAATTAAACTTAAAAATGTTGTCTCATTTGCTGCATTCATATTAACCGGTTCAAATGTGTAACAATTTAAATATTGATGATGTGATAAACGTTTAATACGATAACCACTTAACAGAGTACAATTATCTTCAAATGCTGACATATGTGAAAAGATACGCATACAATTCAAGAAGATTGTTGGATTATGTCCTAAAGTTAATGAATCTTGATAATTTAAATTTTGATAATAAACACTTAAACTATCATAACTCCAAATTGAACTAGCTGAATTCACATCATTTTTATGTAATGCGTCGAGAATCAATTTTCTCATGTATAAATTATATTGTGACGGGGATAAAATTTTCGATTGATTCCATAATTTATATGCTTCATAGGAGAATGGTGGTTGATGACAAACAGTCAACGCTGGGAATGGTGATGGATTATCCATAATCAATTGAGTATGTACACTGACATCATAATTTAAAAAATCTTTAATTAATAATGCTGTTGAACTTAACAATAGAAATGTCATACTTAACACAAATGTTAACCACATAATACGTAATACTTTTGGGCCTTGACGTATTTTTGCCATACCACGTACACTTGTACAACTACAGAATAAATCAAATGCTAATTTCGGTGAACAATATCCACATGATTGATGACATAATTTAGAATGTTCACAATTATGATTATTATTATTATTTGAATGTTTACATTTTACAGATTTCTTGGAACTTTGATCATGAGGCATTGTGTTTTTCCTCCTCAAAAATAAGCTTTATACTATTACTTATTCCTGAGAAATACAAATTTTAATGAGTTGCGATAGATTGTTGTTGTTAGGCTAATAATGTTAGTTTTATAAACATGAAATTTAAGCAAAAATTTTATTTCATTCAAGAACCAATCAACACAGCCGGTAATCATAACCAATAATATTTCATTTTTAGGTTAGGAAATAATAAATAATAAACCATGCTATGTGATAAACAACTTTACAATGAAATGAATATCCTATATTTTTTTTTAATTGAACGAATACTAAATTATATATTGCAGTACAATCATGTATTATTCATGAATGTTGTACATGATTATAAATTCATTGTTTTATTTACTGGCCAGATATTGGATTGAATAATTGAAATTTGTGACTGAATGCATCATTTCATAAGATATTAGGAAACAATTGCTCTGTATCGATAGATCGAACAGCGAGGTAATATGATTGATTGACAAACAAGTCAAGATTTGAATATGCTCCATCAACGATCTCAGTGATTCGGGGTTAGAACAATGTATGTTGAGATATAGCGAATTAAGTCAAGTTACAATTTAAGAGGTTGCGTTAAGAGGTTGAATTCAATTCACAGTGACAAGGTTGTTGATATGTACTGTGGTGTGAGCTACTTATAAGTAGTATATGACGTTGTAGTGAATGAGAACACAGGTGAGGGCAACCGAATTGTATTTAGCGAAAATTACAGAGTTACTCAGTAAAATCGGAAAACCATATCGTAAATCGTTCATTTGCAAAAGATCAGTTCATCCTATGGAACTGGACTGTTCCTGTTGCAAAACATCAATCCATTGTCACTATTCATGCGTTTCATACAAATTCCATTGTTTTCTAACTCTTCCTTTCTTGATCTTCCCCCCATATTATGCTACCAGACTTTACGTTGACACTCACGTTATATACTACTTATAAGTAGTTCGCACCACAGCACCACACTCGTCCCCCCTTTTAATAAGCTGTCGTCGTAGTCCTTCAAAACAGAGCCCCTGGTCAGTTAATATCACCTTCCGTATTCAGTGACACGCTACAATATGCCGGATTACCACTTCGGTCATCGTTCTTGATCACTGGTCTGGAATGGGTACGGCATCTACCCAACGTGTAGCGTTTACAAGTTCCCGATGCTGGAACACGGCGGCAGGCACACACTCGATAAATTGCGACGCCAAAGACTGTGCCCCGCCCACTCCTCACGGCGCAATCCGGTGAGCTCCACAGCAAGCACCAACAGGTCACCATCGGCCGACAGCCGCGCCAACCGGAACCTCTACGGCGCCTCCTCCCTGTCCGCTGGGCTGTCGAACTCCATTATCAGCCGCCCGGTGACCGTCTCCCACGCCGTCTCCTCGGTGTCACCGTCCAGGCTGTCGTGTACCGCCTTCGCCCCACCTCCCCGCAGCGTCCCCAGCACCGTCAACTCCGCCCCAAGCGCCCACCAGCTCCGCCGTGGCCCCAAACTCCTCCAGGAAGCTCCGCCAATCTCCGCCCTGCAACTCCTTCGGCCACGGGAGCCCCTTCCTTCGAGCAGGCAGCGACACCAAATGTAGTGAATGAGAACACAGGTGAGGGCAACCGAATTGTGTTTAGCGAAAATTACAGAGTTACTCAGTAAAATAGGAAAACCATATCGTAAATCGTTCATTTGCAAAATATCAGTCCATCATATCGAACTGGACTGTTCCTGTTGCAAAACACCAATCCATTGTCACTATTCATGCGTTTCATACAAATTCCATTGTTTTCTAACTCTTCCTTTCTTGATCTTCCCCCCATATTATGCTACCAGACTTTACGTTGACACTCACGTTATATACTACTTATAAGTAGTTCGCACCACAGCACCACAACGTGAGTGTCAACGTAATGTCTGGCAGCAGAAGATGAAGGAAGATCAAGAAAGGAAGAATAGTAGGAACACAATGAAATTTGTATGAAACGCATGAATAGTGACAATGGATTGATGTTTTGCAACAGGAACAGTCCAGTTCGATATGATGAACTGATATTTTGCAAATTAACGATTTACGACGATATGGTTTTCCGATTTTACTGAGTAACTCTGTAATTTCGTTAAATTACAATCCAGTTGCCCCACCTGTGTTCTCGTTCACTACAGTACGACTGAGGATTCAGTCACACATTAGGTTAAAACAACTTTTCATTGCCAATTGAATCTCAATGGATGTCTAACTTAAGTTGGTTTTTGTGATTTCTGTAATATTCAATATTCTTTGCTAATCTCCTTAATGATAATCTCATCTCTCATGTCGAGTTCTATAGATTTTCATCAGAGGGTTGTGTAGATTGTTAAAATCATGGATCGGTCAATTTTTAGACCACCATTAGAAACCTTAAAGCACTGGATGACCTTTTCATCTTGGGATGGGACTCATCAGCAGTTAGCATCCACGACTCCCGCTACTCGAATGAATCGACCTCAAGATCTTCTGCATTGCACACGAACGCTTAAACTCTAAACCTCTGAGCAGGTTTCCAAAGCTGTTACTGTCTAATTTTGATCAATTACGGCAGTGCACAACTTAATCCCTTCTTGTAGGCAGTCAACAAAGCTTCACACGCAAACAGCGTTGAACTCCACTGGTCACAACTGTGCACTAGAACTGGAAGAAACTTCCTCATGGAGCTGGTAACTGGTGTGCGCATGATAATTTTCACGTTGATAATAGTCGATAGCAGTTACCAATAAATATGCTATTTTATAACTCCCAAATTAAAATTACTAACCATGACGTACATCACAAATAGAAATTCATGATTTATCACACTATATGAGTTATCAATGATTTAAAATCAATCAACCAATCATTGTTAGACCAACATTAGAAAGCTGGAAGCACTGGAAGGCCGTTTCATCCTGGTATGGGACTCATCGGCAGTGCGCATCCATGACTCCTTCACCTCGCAGGATTCGAACCCGTGACCTTCGGTATTGTGCGCAAACGCCTAATCATCGGACCACTGGGCCGGCATCCAACGGTGTTAATGTCTAACTCTGACTGATCTACGGATGTTTGCACGACCTCACCCATTTGTCTTTGGTAGTTACTGCCTACACCCGACAGGGTTGAACTCCATTGGTCACGTCTTCTCACTAGAACTCCGAGAATTTCCTCACGAAGCTAGTCACTAGTGAGCACTGTTACGATATTTTCAGTTAGAGCTATGGAGACTAGCTTCATGAGGAAATTCTCGGAGTTCTAGTTGAGAAGACGTGACCAATGGAGTTCAAACCTGTCGGTTGTTGGCAGTGACTACCAAAGACAAATGGGTGAGGTCGCGCAAAATCCGTAGACCAATCACAGTTAGACATTAACAGAGTTGGATGACGGCCCAGTGGTCCGATGGTTAGGCGTTTGCGCACAATACCGAGGTGAAGGAGTCATGGATGCGCACTACCGATGAGTCCCATACCAGGACGAAACGGCCGTCCAGTGCTTCCAGCTTTCTAATGTCGGTCTAACAAGATTGGTTGATTGATTTTAAATGTGTAAAAACACAAATCTCCAAAGCTCTAACTGAAAATTGTCAATGATTGACTAATGTGTATCTAACTGACAACATAACTATGCAAATGAATTTGTCCTGTAATATAATTTCGTCAGTATCGTTTTAGTATTGAATTCAGATAATGACATGATTGATTTTTACGTCACTGATTACCATATAAAATGATTTAGAATAAAAAGCTTTCAGATCACATTTCATCAGTAGTATAAATCTTGAAAAAAAACACTCTACTCCAACTAACATACAATATTGACTTAATGAGTTTATTCATTTACTCATTAGCGAAATTCAAGACTCATGCTGAATTCAAAAAGTAATCTAACTAAATCAGCTGTCATTAGATTATGACCTGACATGTTTTCTGAAAGCTTCTATTTCAGAACTTATATAAATCTCCGATGTCTATGACTCTTCTTAGTTAAAAGACAACTTTCGTGCTTGTGTTGATATTTTATTATGCTATAGTGTATATAGACTTTGGTTGAAGTGTTACGAACACAGTGAACGTACCTTAAGAACTAGAAAAAAACCAATGGACTATTTAAAAACTGGAATACTAATCTATCAAAATGACTTAGTACTGTACGGACAACATTTTCGAGTCTAGCAACAAATATCACACCAGATCATGAAACGTATTTTACTATTCATTACAATAAACTCCACCTGAGGCCCCTTTAAGGTTACGTTATATCATATCTGCTTCCAGTTTTCAGCGTATCGTGTTCTTTGGACTTCTTGTTTCTTTTGGCCTTAAGATTTCGTAGTGACAGCCTACCACCATATGAAGCATTCATGCGCTTTACTCAACGTGTATCATATTCACCTGCTGCACTTTTTCCCGATTTATTCGTCTGGTGGAATCTGGCTTTTATCTCCATCAGTTGGTTATTGTTCATGGCTCTTTGCAAACGGATCTGAAGTACCTTTTATAGGAAGATGTTAACAGATACTTGTATCTTCCGGATAATGGCTTTTGTGGTTGCATGAGTTTCCGCTCTATACAGTAGAACTGTCTTGATACCTGTACTAAAAATTCTGGCTTTTGTGTTGATCGATAGTTGTTTTGAGTTCCAGACGTTCTTCAATTGTAGAAATGCTACCCTTGCTCTACAGACCTGTGGCCTTCACATCTTCATCAGATCAGCTTTGCCCATCAGTGATTCTGCCCATGTATATAAAGATTTTTATAACTTCCAAAACTTCTTCAGCAAGTGTCTCCCACAGTGTATGAACATTCCATGTACTTAAATTATTTGTTGCTTTGGTTGTGTGATTGACCACCGCCCTCGTGACTTTCGAAGAAACACTCGGCTTTCATAATGAGACCTCATAACTCTTCTAAACTATGAGTTTTAGTGAGTTAGTTTTCTACGGAATTGGGTCGCTACCCCCATCCCTTACCCCATTCTTACATTCAAGCA